TGCTATGTTACAACAAGGTTCCACCTACAGAACATTAAGGAACAGACTGCAGGTTTGTTCTTGAGGTATTCCGGGGATATTCAGTTGTCCCACAGACACACTGGACTGAATTTATTAACGTTAATGTAGTAAAAGTGTTTATCATCAGGAGAGTTGTGTCAGATTGGGACTCTGTTTCAGCAGGTACCGAATAAATGACTCATTTTGGATCAGGATCCAGTAAACTGGATCAGTATGTTCCCTGTGTTAATATCTGCCTGGTCCTTGTGGTGGTTTTACTAATCACATCTTGTTCTGGTGTTTGTTCTGGTTCTTCTGGACTTTGTTTCGCTGGATCTGACATGTCCAGTGTTTCCCTGTAGGTTCTGCAGCAGCAGTTTCCCTGGTTCAGTGCGGGTTCTTGAACATTTGTTCTGAAAGACATCAGTGCCATTTGTTTGAGTCACTCTGACCCTGTGGACAGGTCAGATCCGTCTGAGTTACAGCTCATTTATTCCAGACTTTGGGTCAGCTTGGTGGACAAACATGTGGACAGTGGCGGCTGGTCAATAGGGGGCGCTACTGACTACCAGATAAAAAGTAGTTCTCAAACACAATATTAAATTTGAATTGATTCTAACAAAAAAATAATAACATAAATAATAACGTTCAGGTTCTTTTGCTACATTAACAATATTTGTATTATTAACAGATTGAAAACTCGTCTTCACTCTGTTCACTAATTCTACACTTCCTGGATGCGGCGCGGCCACATCAGTGTGTATGTCGCTCAAAAACTTTTCATGATCATGTGACCTCGGTCCAGGCTCTGATTGGCAGCTGCAGACTTTCTCACGGGGTGCAGCTCGGTGCGTCCCGGACCCGCCCACTTTTGCTGTAAGCCCATTAATTTCGTCTTTATTTGCTTTTGTCCTCTGTGGTTGGATATCGTCACGTGGCCTTTCCCCTCCTCTCCCACGAGATGACAGCTACTGACTGACGGCTGAATGCTGAATGCTGTCAGTGGTCACGACATGAGTGACTTCAACCAAAAACTTATAGAGAAGTTTGCAGAGGAGAGCGAGAGAAGAGCCACGTTTGGTTCACATCGTGTTTTTTTCATTATTTCTGTTCAGATCCTGTAAGTAGTGATGAAAGTTTGATGAATGGTTTTGACATTTCGTTCTGGTCAGTCTTTAGAATTAGAACATCCTCCAGAGGTAGAACTTTGCATTCCTGTAAATCGTTGTGTCTGATGTTACTCATGTTCTAGTTCCTGATTTTAAATAACAGGTCATTTGCAGACCCTAACCCTAACCACTGCATGTGGACGTGCAGCTGAGTGCTTTAATCTGACTGCAGATCAGTTTAAGTGAATTGATGCTGAGATGTTTTTAAATTTATGGGCAGTCTGCTGCTGCAGCTGTTCTCTGGGAGAAGCCGAGGATTGTGGGATTAAATAAATGGTGGAGGGTCACAGAACAATCTCTGTTAAGTGCTGCAGTTTTGGGTCAAAGGTAAAACCTTCATCATTGTGTTAATGTCACAGTGAGCAGGTTCAGCTCTGCTGCAACTGAACCAGAACCATGTGTGTCCCACAAAGTCCAATCAGTTTGACCCAAACTGAAGGTTATCTTGGTTACCAGCTGGTAAATGTAGATGTCATTTCAGACCTCTGCTACTGGAAGTTAGACGTTTAATTTTAAATTTTAAATAAACTTTTAAAATCATAAAACAGCTGATAATTTAGGAACAAAGTAGAAATGATCAGAACCAGAACCTGCTCAATAGCTTTCAGTAGACTGACAAAACAAAATTATTATTTTTTTTTTTAAATAAAAAAAAATCCCAGAAAACATAGGAAAAATATCTGGAAAAAATATAGAAATCCATCATCAAAAATACTAAAAATGAAATGCAAATATTAAAATGTCAAAAAATATCAGAAAAATAATGAAAATCACAACTTTCAAAAATATTAGCAAATCAATAACAGAAGTAATAACGTTAAATAATCTAAAACATGTCAATGCCTGGGAAAAGTCCAGAAATTCCTCAAAAAACATTATTTTAAAAATTTGTTATTAAAAACTATCAAATTACATCAACTAAAGGGTTTGAACTGCCATAAAAAAAAAATCCCAAAATTGAAAAACAAATATTCCTAAAATGTTCATAAATTCTTCCATCCATGATCTATACACCTCTTTATCCTCTGTCGGGTATCAGGGGGCGGAGCCTATCCCAGCTGACTCAGGGTGAAGGCAGGTTCACCTGGACAGGTAACCAGTCTATCACAGGGCTACACTTAGAGACAGACAACCAAGCACACTCACATTCACACCTACGGACAATTTACAATCACCAATTAACCTCAGCATGTTTCTGGACTGTGGGAGGAAGCCGGAGAACCCGGAGAGAACCCACGCTGCACGGGGAGAACATGGAGACTCCACGCAGGAAGATCCCGGGTGTCCTCACCGGGACGCCAACCGGCGACCTTCTAGCTGTGAGGCAACGATGCTAACCACCGAGACACCGTGCCGCTCTATTCATAAATGGCTGAACAATATTTGAATAAAATGTCAGAAATAATGTCAATAAAAACACTCAAAAAATGCCCCAAAATACAACAAAGTGTTCCAAAAACGTCAAAAAATCTACAAAACCTTTGGACAAAATTCATAAATATATTTTGATAGCATAATAAAATTTACAAAAGTTGACTGAAACTCTTTATAAATTAAAAAAAGAAACATGTGTTTGTTGCAGGATTTAAACACATGAATGCAGTAAGAGCTGTTTAGGAAACTGTGGAGTTTCCTTTGTTCACGTGTTAATGAGATTTAAATTCTGTTGGTTCCAATATGAGCTGATGTTACAGCAGCTGGTCAGTAGAGGGCGCTGCACCATAAACACAGTCTCACTCAGAGGCAGAAAACTTCAGAAATTGCGTTGGTGAAGTTTCTCAGTCATCATAGTAAATCTAAGAGCTTCAGTAAAAATCAACCAGACTTCCCTTTCATCTTCTTGAAGATGTTTCACCTTCAGACACCGAAGTACAGCTGCAGAAGAACATCACAGGAGATGCCAGACCTTTCTACAGGAGAGAGGAAGCTACAGCAGAGCAGCTCCTCAGCACCAGACCAAGCATCCAGCTTCACCTGAAGGACCAGAGACTCTCTGAGGACAGCAAAGTCCACATTCTGGACAGAGAGGAAGGTTTGAGGAGGAATGAAGGACAACATCAAACTGGAACGCACATCTCTGAACAGGAGGCTCTACAGCGCCACCTATCAGCTACTTAGAACTCTAAGATCTCTCCCAGGACGTTTCCCCATCTGACTGGGCAGATTCAGATCCTTTGCTGATTGGACTGGCAGCCCCTCCACTGTGACTGCTGTGGTTGCTGTGGAACCACCTGGTTTCACAGCATCCACACCTGGAGACAGGTGAGTCCTGCTCATTAAGGAGACATCAGCCATGTGAGCTGGAGGGACTACAGACATCTGAAACTACCATCAGTCAGTTCGAACTGAAGAAGAATCTTAAAAGAGAAGTCCCCGGGGCGCCCTGGTGGCTCAACTGGATCCGACGCCCGTATTCGGGCTCCA